GCGCTTAATAAATAAAAGACTACAACCAAACATGCTTAAAGGCCTTGTAATTTATCCAGTAAAAAATTCTTGTACGACTCTTCTTCAGAAGTGAGTGGCGTAGGCGAATTCTTCAGAGCTTGCACCATATCAAACCAGGTTTTCATCTTATGAATGTCAAGTTCCTCCCTTTTCCTCTGTTCCTTGTCTTTTTCAATTTTGATCCTCTCTTCCTTCAGAATGGCCTCCCTCTCGCGAATTGTAGCGAATTCCTTCATTCGTTCGCTAAGCTCAGACGAACCACTTTCTGTTGCTACTGCTTTCCCTTTACGCTTCGCCTTTGCCTTCTTGACACCCTCGGGTCGTTGTAAACCGCCAGATGAAAAACCATCCGTAGGGGTTTCATCCTCTACATCATCTCTGGACCTCTTCCCACTTCCAGCACTACCTTCTTCCTCAGCATCACAAGCGGCTTTTCTTTCCTTCAAGGACATTGACCATCTGAGCTTTGGTCTCCACTTTGGATCCTTGTTAAGCATTTCAATTGCGTGAGGAAAAGTGAAATTGCGACCTTGGGCGACATGAAAAAGCTTCGCCGCACTTTTCATACGATCAGCTTCATTGTAACCACTCCCTCCCTCCGGAAGTCTACCTGCTTCATCATAGCAAGATACATTGCAGTGTGTCCGCTGCCAACCTTCTCCTGTGCGACGTTAGACTCTTAATAGGCCTTGGCGGAATTATATGCGGCTTCTGCTTATGCAAAGTTTGATATGCTGCGTGTACATTGCGCCATAGGCTAGTTGCTTTTTGGCTTGTACTTTTAATAGCATCCTCGCTAATCTGCAAGTACAACCCAATCAGAGCTTCATCTTCCGCAACAGACCAAATACGGGTAGCTCGTGCAGGAACCTGGTTGGATTCCAACAAGCGAACTGCTGGAGGAGGATACTGCGACGTCTCTGGTACGCTTTCCTCTTCGCTCTCATCGAAGAGTGTGTTACTACCAAGATCAGTTTCGGGTGTACGATCTTCATTAGCAGGGTTTTGTAGGGGAACCTCAGTGGGTGTCTGATGCAGAGGAGGTGGTTGCGAAGACATACTGCATATTCTTTGCAAGAACAATTGAAACTCGGGATTAGTTAGGAAATCATCACTAAAACCCGAAAATTGTTGACGGAAATTTGGGTTGTTTGGATCCATTAAAAGATTCTGCATCAAAAAACGACAACTTTCTTCAATTGCATAATGCAATTACATTACATGCCATACAATATTTTTTTTTCCTCACAAAATAACATATATACTAATTTATTGAGAAAATATACACAACTTTGTTTAACTACATAATGCAATATAATTTCGTGGCTTAAAAATCACATATATACTAATTTTATTATGTAACTACATTTATATATAGAAATTTATGGAGAAAATATACACAACTTTGTTTAATTACATATTGCAATATAATTACATGGCCTACAATTTTTTTTTTTAAAAAAATCACATATATACTAATTATATTAGAAAAATAAATTTAAAAATAAAAAAAACTAATTGTTACCTCAATATGGGTGAATTGCAACAACAATATTCTTCTACAAATTTAAAATACTTTTAAGAAAATTAAAATGTGGAGGATTTAAAGTGTTTACGAAATTATATCAAAATATATAAAAATGTGTCTATTTATAGAGAATTTAATTTTATGACCGTTGGTAATTTTTTTTTTTTTACAAAATATATTTTTCAGAAAATACATTACAAAAATATATCCGTTGTAAACGGCTAGTATTTTCTGATTGGCTGGCTACCTGCACCCGCCACGTGTCGCGTCTTCATTGCTCCCCCTCGCTGCACGCGTCAGACATCAGCCTTTTTTTTAAAAAAAAATCTGATTCATCAAAACGACGCGTTTTGATAGGCGCGCCTTTGAGGGACCTCATCAAAACGCGTCGTTTTGATGCTTGGACTCCGAATTTTTTTTTTGTTTGTCAGCCAGCTGTGGGCCCCACTCGACTTACTATTCATCAATAAAAATGCTCAAGTTTTGAGCTTTTTTGGAAATGCTCATGGGCTTTTTTTCCCATTTAACAAATTCTCACCATTGTAACCATTGATCATTTTTTTGACTCACAAAAAATGCTCATGAGCAAAAAAAAACACTCACCATTGCTAGTGCTCTTACTAAGAAGCATAGTTGATGACAAGAACAATTGCATCTATATATATAGGAAAAAAGGAGGGGAAAATGTATTGTTCTCCTTTATTATTGTTTTTTCTCCTGCCTTTATTCATTATTTAGCAATCGTTAAATTATGCTCAGCTTTTTAATTTGTTTATTAAACTTATAAGTTTTGAGAGTTATAAAATGCCAGAAAGTTCTTTTTTATTTATTTTTATTTTTATTTTATTTTATGGAAAATAGTTTGAGTTATGTGGTATGAAATCACCAAGTTCGGATTCAACTTTGAGGTTTGCTTCTTCCTCGGAGCAAATTAAGCTCCAGCAGGAAGTTACGAATCAGGTAACAGTAAATTGTAATTAAGATGTGTGATTTGCCAATTTGTGAATTTGGTCTTGCATGTTCTATATAAGTTGGAAGTATATCATGAATGACATTGAGTTGATAATTGGCATAAACTTTAAGTTGGAAGTATATCTATGCATGTCATGTACCTTGTAATGTGTTTAATTAAGTGTACATTATCTATGTGGGTCAGCCGACTAATCAGTCGTGTACCATGTCTGCTTAATTCAGGCGTTGACTCTTTCCTTTCCCTACTTACACCCAATTGGTGCAGTAGTAGCTATTTATATATGAGATTTGAAGTGTAAGCGTTTTTGAGGTTGAGGTTGTTGTTCTACATTTGAATGACGGATACCTAGTCAGATCATAATTTGAGCTTACACAAGAGGCATTGAACGTGGGGATATAATCAAACTGGTTTTCTCTGCCTTTCCTTGGAGCTTGAACAAGGCCAGACACTCAGCTTGGTTGTTCATGCTGATCCAGAGGATGAAACGGCATGCATCTCTTGGTAAATGATGGTGGAAGATGGGTCTATCACTTTATTGAGGTGAAGATAACAGGCAAATCTCCCTGATGGTAAGTCTCCTTCAAGGCGGATTTTGGTTCATTTATCTTTGGATGCATTGTACCCTCTGTTGATGGGTCTTGTTAGTTTGTGCTCCAGAAGTGTTAACAACTGAATATAATCTTGTTTTCTTGAATAAATTAGCTCAATATCTCTGTATGTTAGGTGTTAAGCTGAATGGTATTCAGCCTGCGGCCTATGTGTTCAGTACATGAATTGAACTAAATATGTTTCACCTGACAGATAAAATGCCAGATTAGGTTACATAAATTGTGATTAATCATGTCATTGAATAGGAATTCAAGCCCGAATTTTCTGGAAAGAGAAGTAGCATAACTAAGAGCATATAATTCATGTGATCATAAATTTATAATCCACATTTTTACGTCATTATGCTCGTATGATTATTCCTACTTCTATTTATCTTTACAATTAAGCATTACCCGTTACAAGAATTAATCTCCCCGTGCACAGTATCAACGCACAATTACTCAGAAAATATTGAAAGTCTGTCTCAAAAACAACACTCATAATAGCAGGAACAGAGGAAGCTGCATAGGTGCAAACAGTCCGTAGACTCAGTATAGCAGATTTTCTTCTTGATAAATCTCCTCTGTTCCTTCCCTTCCTTCCATACTAGTAAATGGATGAACAAAACTTTCGATACATGTTATACTCTGGTAGAATAGTACTGCTCCCCGTAAACTCGCAACCATGAAACTCAACCTTCCTTATCCTGTTCTCTTGTGGATTATACAATCCCAAACCATGCTGGATTCCTGGCAACAAAAATTCCCGGTAAACTCACATCGACATATATTCTAGCTCTTTCTTCCACACTTAGTATTCTGTTAGTTCATATTCTCATAACCGCTTAGTATTGAGAAATAAAAGATTGAATTGTGTACCTAAATGATGGCACTGTTTAAATGTATTTTTTTTTTTAAGGAAAAGAACAACATAATTAACATTAGCCATACAACATCTATAATATAATTAGATCTATAAACAACAAACTTACAGAAAAGAACATAGCTTATACAATAAAAAAGTTTCGGCATAACACATTCTCCATCCCTTAAAGTTTGACTCAAACAATGATTTTTGATGTCTTTGCAAGTTTTCAAGTAGAGACTCTCACATTACAACATACATTGATATTTAAATCGAAAAATTAATCACCAAACATAAACTATCTCCCAATTATTAGATGTCGACCATGAATGATCGAGAATTAAAGTTCTAGAAAATGGAAAGAAATTAAAACTCTGAAGTCTCAATAGATGAAGAGAGCAAAACGATGGAAAAATAAAATAAAAAATTGAATTAAAGAAAATGGGTTGAATAGTCATTTTTCGCGGAACACTTGAATCTTTCTCGAAATGTACTTGTATAGTTGTATAGTCCATACAAAGTATAGAAGTAAAATCTCTCTCCATGGAAATTACTAACCAGTAACATAAGCAATCATTCGACTTCGTTGAAAGTTCTATGGAAGACTTTATTATTTTGGAAGACGGAAGACTTTGTCATTGTTGTTTGGGTCCAATTCAGTCTATCTAATTGGGCCTAGTACAAATAACTCAATTCAAGCCCAAAACAAGGTTCAACCCTCCAAAAGCATGCTAAGGTCAAGAAAAGCCCAGTCAAGATGGTCAGCCCATTTGACTTCAAAGGCCCAGTCCTTCCCAATTGAATCAAGGTATAAAAGCCATCAATTACACTCATTTACATAAATGCACTTAAAGCCTCAAGCACAAACTCTCTTGCATAGCATTTACTCTAAACTGAACTGACTTTAGCATCGTAGGGGCATTCCTCGGCAACCACCCCCGAGGCTAGTTTACGTGTTCTTTGGTGTGCAGGAAATCCTCAGCTCCTACGTTCATTGGACCGAGATTAATCATCTCCACCTAAATTGGACCGTCCGAAGGTCCTACTGTTTTCTTACCGAAACAATAGTTACAAAATTAATGTTTCTACTCCGTATTATATATGGTTGGTTGTTAAAGCCCCTTGTCATATTCCACCCTTATCCTTTCTCTCACTCACTCGCCCCCAAAAATGAATCAATCACACAGAATGACCAAAGACGAAGAAGGTGATTCCATACTCGATGAAAGAAGTGAGAATTTACAGGAGATGACACTACATTTAGCTTCTAAACATGGGCATGCCAATATTGTTCATCAAATAGAGGAGTTGGGGCCGAGCTTGGTTAAAGCAATTAACGAACTGAAAGAAACTCCGCTAGTCGATGGTTGTCGAGGCGGAAACCAAGAGGTGTTGGAGACATTATTGGAGGCTAAACCTTGGGTATTTCATGACTCTAACTGTAAAAGTGCTGTGATGTTGGCTTGTGAACATGGACATAGTCACCTGATGAGGCGTTTGATGTCAGAGATAGATAGTACTGAAACTGATTTTTTCTCTCATTCGTCAAATTTTGCTGCTGATTTTTCCTGTCTACGTATTATTGTCTCTCGTGGCGGCGCGTATAGAGGTAAGTTAGATTTAGCTAAACAACCCTCTGTTTAATCCCTTTATTCCACTCTCCTTCCATTTCGTGTACGTAGTTTAACGAAATTATGGGTTAGGAGCTGAGGACCATGTAATAATTAGTATACAGTACTAGCATTTTTTTTCCTCCCTTTTTTCGTCTTTTTAAGGCTTTTTAAGAAAAGGGAAATTGGTTTTAATATTTAACTTTAGCCGATTAATTTATTGACCTTACAAGTTATCAAACCTATTATAGCGTATCACCAGACACGTCATCACATTATAAGTCCAAAAAAAAAGAAATCTACCTCCCTCAGCCATCGTCGTCAGACACCCCTCTCCTCAGCCCCACCCACCCCTCCCTTTCCCTTACCATCGAAACCATCTCACCACCGGTCAAAGTAAGGAGATAGGTTGGGGTGCATAGGGAGATGGGATCGCATATGTGCCAGAGGTGGTGGTCGGATTTTATGTAAAACAAGGAGAAAGATAAGATTAGGGGGAGGGAGGAGAAAGAAAAAGAAATATATAATTTCTTCGTTTCTTTAGTTGCATCACTTTGTAAATTGTGGATTTCGAGACAATTTTTGGAGATGAGAGAGATAGAAAGAATATTAAAAATGGACCCATAGGAGAGAGATGAAAGAGTTTATAAACTAATTAGTGTATGACACAGTGGAAATTTATCAGGTGGAGGGTTCAGGTGGGTCGGGTAAGGGAGGGGGAGGGGATGCGCCGGCGTTTGGCCGGCGATTGGGTTGGATGAAGGTGGCAGTGGTGGGCAGAGGTGGCTGGGTAGATTTAGGAATTTAATTTTTAATTTTTAATTTTTATTTTTAAAAACAAATAAAATGGTGACACGTGTCACTGTTGGCCCCACTTAACAAATTTTTTGGACGGAAACCGTTAAGTGGTGGTAAAATCCAATTTTATAAAATTTTTCTGGTAAAATAATTTTTGTTTTTTTGGTTGTTAAAAATCATTTTCGGGTTTTTTTTTATTTTCTGGTGTTAAAATCCAAAATTTCCTTTATTAAATGCATATGGAATATATTTTGTATATAATTGCCAAATTTGAAAATTAAATATTATAGGATATATAAATTAATGTTCATGAAGATTTGTTAAAAAAAAAAAAAAAAAGAAAAGTAAAAGTGGCGGGAATTTTTTAAATCAGAACATGATAAGTGTCAGATTCGCTTTTAGTATTATATTATTGATTGATGGGAATTTATGGTCAAAGTTTTTGAAATTTAACCCTATTATTTGCATTGTGGCAAAAATATAGGGACAAATGGAAAAGTGGTGTAAAATTTATACTGAGTAACAAAACATGCACTATTTCACATCAAGATTAATCCGTATGAAGTACTACGTATAAGATTTATAACTTCTATATCGATCTTGATCTAAAACTACTACATTAATCAGTGTGTTGATGTTTATACAGAATTTATCAGGGAGCTAATAGAAGCGTGTCCAATTATCATGGAAAGGTCAGATGAAGATGGACTTAACTTACTGCACTATGCTTGTGGATATGGTGAAACTGACATCGCAAAAATGTTGCTCCGATTGAATCCTAACCTTGCCCAATCTTGTGACAATCATGGCTTTGCTCCTCTGCATCACGCAGTAATGCGAAATAAAATAGCTATCTTTAAAGAATTTGAGGAATTTGCTCCTTCTGCATTTAAGCTCTTGACCCAGTATAAGCAAGAAACCGTGTTTCATCTTGCAGTTAACAACCATCTTTTTGATGCTCTTATAAGCTTGATCCAAGTTATTGGTGACAACAATGATCTCTTCCATCTCTTCCATAAAGGAGGCCAAGAAGGAAATCATGTCTTGCATCTTGCTATCTATCATACATCAGTTAAGGTATGTTAAAACAGTAAAATCCCGCTATTTTTTTTCCCTTAGACCCTGTTTTCTTCAACTTATTTTTGTTTAATTGAAATTATTTTTATTGAAATGAAATTTTGTTTACTTATTGAAATTAATTGTACTAAACTGATATTATTTTACTGATTAAAGCTTATTTTTACTGATCTTCTATTACATTTGTTAAATTTACCATTTTTATAGAACTAAAATTATTTTTACTGAATATTATTTTGTTAAGGTGAAGAGAACAAGACTTATTCATGTCATCTATCTTAAGCTCCAACTCATGTTAATATACTTCAATTCTTTCTTTCTTAGTTTTGCTCTCTTTATACAGGTTCACAGCTGACTATCTGTGTACAATGCACGAGACTAATAACTAGTGTTTCTTAAGCGCAACTAAATTTTTTTAGTGATTAGGCACTGATTGCTTCACAGTTATAGAATAGTCTGATCTGCAGTGTTCAATTTGAGATCAACATGACATATTGAAGTGAACAGTAACACTTCTAATATTTTACAGATTGCAGAGTATCTGATCAACAAAGCAACAAAGAAACTACTAAAAACCAAAAATAAGGCAGGGCTTACTGCTCTTGACCTTCTTGAGAAGTATAGACCAGACGATGTTGTCGCCCAGTATCTCAAGGAACTCTTGTTAGAAAAGCATCATAAAGTTTATTTCAACTCAAAACCAAAATCCGTTGATAAATTAAGCCAGGAAGATGAAGGTACAAGCTATTTGGACAACTTTCAATGTTACACATTTTTGTGCATGTTTGGTTGATTTTTTGTCTTATCAATCGATATTACCTTCTTTTGCTGAGTTTATGCATTCATTTTCGCAAGATTGTTATGAAATCTACCCTCTTTATACCACTTATTAACTTCTTGGTTAAAATATGGAGAATGGTGAGTAAGACTTAAGTTTCACAAACTTAAGAAATTTACTTTTCCTAGCAACATGTATATTCGTGACTCAGAAATCCCTTTTCTTTGCCCTTAAGCAGATCTTTTGAATTTACATGACGAGCCTAAGAGTGAGAGGGTCACAATGTCACATAACTACATAAGTTGAATTTTACTTGAGCCTATGTTCATGTTGTATAATTGTTTTCGTAATGCCATTAACATGTTTTATGTTTATATCTTATTAAGATTCAACAATTATCATGTTTACAATCTTTATTACAGACTTCACCAAAAACAATCTTTACACTAGAATTCCTGCATCTTCTAGTATTAGTAGAGAGGATTTATAACAGTATCTATCATTTCTTGATTTGGAGGATTAGTGACCATTGAGCACAAAACAGACAAAATTCTATCAAGAAATTCTTCGTCAACTTCATTGAATTCACGTACTGATGGTACTGCATATCAGGGTCGTAAAGGTGCGTTTCAGGATTAGACTCTTGCCTTTCTCAATCAAACCCAGCCTTAATAATTTATGATCTTTTTTGTTGTATGAGCAAAAAGTTTTATTATTACTGATTAATGTTATACTCTTATGTCAGCAAATGCATCTTATCAAAAGCCCTTATATAAAGCTGTGAAAAAAATTCTTGCGACTTTAAAAACAGAAAAGGGTGTTCGTAAGGATAGACAGAAGAAAAGGATGTATGAAATGCACATAGAAGGGCTTCAAAATGCAAGGAATACGATCAACATAATCGCAATCTTAATCGCTACGGTAACATTCACAGGATGCCTGAGCCCTCCCGGGGGCTTTTTTCAAGAAGGAGCTAACAAAGGAAAGCCAGTGTTGTCGCAAACAACAGCATTTAAGGTGTTTGTGTTCAGCAACGATGTAGCCCTCTTCTTGTCTCTTGGCATCGTTGTCATTCTTGTCAGCATCATTCCTTTTCGTACCACACCGATGCGAAGGGTGTTGACTCTAACACATAAGCTCTTATGGCTTGCAGTATTCTTCCTAGCCATAGCTTACATTGCAGCAAGGTGGGCTACAACCCTACAAGTCCAACACCTAAAAAAGACATCCGGAATTGTGTTGTCTATCTGTGGCGGGTTCTTATGCATAATCTTTGTTGGATTGAGTATTATGCTACTCAATGACAAGAGGAAGACATCTAAGTTGAGAAAGAAAAAAAAATTAACAGTGGGGACCTTTTCATCATTTGAAACTAATGTGCTAAGTGAAGTTCCATCTGGGTATATCACCTATTAAGGCTACAAAGCGTGAGACTTGTAATAAATACTTAAGGCCCTATTTGGTGATTAGAAGTGAGTTGATTGATGATAGCCAATTGTGTTAGCTGTTTTGCCTATCTATTAGCGATTAACATACCCAGGCCTTGGTAAACTCTTCTCGGTCACTTTATGTTGTGTGTGAGTGATGTTCCTAATTGTTTTTATATTCCAAGAGTTTTCTTCAGTTGCCTCTCGATGAATTTGTGATCAAGGTGAATGTGGCATTCAAGTACTTGTGATGACAGATATAATCAGCGGAGTACGACCTTATCCTAGCTTGAGAATTGATGAGACATTGTGACTGTGAGGCTGCCCTTCTTTTTCTGTGAAATCATTTCATACGGGTCCTGGGCAATTCATTTCTGCCTTTCTCTGGCTCACCATTAGATATCTAGAGGCATAAGCATCCACTTAACACTCCAAGCTCTATGATGTAAGGCTTTGATATGTAGCCATGCAAAAAATATCCTTGATCTAATACATCCGGCATTGGCACTTCACCCCATTCTTCCTTGTGAAGGTCAAAGCTTGGGATCATTTCCCTCGAGTATTCAAAAATCAATGGATCGTACTTGGTTATATTCCAGTGTAAGTGGTTGTTGGTTGGAATTCCTTGGTCGTAAGTCTAGATATATAACTTTTCTTCTTCCCTTTCCCCTGCATAATTAGGGACACTGTGTGTGATAATATTTGGCAAGTTCATTGTCCTCCAGGGTTTGGTTGTCTTTTATCAAACTATAAATAAGAGCCTTTTTGGAGTAAATGTTACAATCTTAAAGTAGTGGCTGTAGCTATCATAGCCAAGCCCGTAAACCCTGAAACTAAAATTTCGACCCACATAGCATGTGTAATTATGACTCTCATAGTACCAATAATGCTCCTCATAATAAGAGCCGTAAGGATCATAAGAATCGATCATAATTATAGTCTATGCAAGGTAGTAATTTAAACCCCGCGTGCTCTTGCTCAATAGCTGGGTTGCAGATAACAATGTGCTGCGTCCCACTTAAGATCAAAATCAATCCATTGCAAGAGCCAGCAACCATGTCACACCCAAATGACAAATGCTAACTTTTCTGTTGTGACTCTGTAATGATTTTTGTAACTTTTAACACTTTCAAGGAATGGGCTAAAAGACGGAGGCATTAGTATTGGGATACAGCTACATGCATATTTATAGACCCAACAATTATTTTTCTTCTAATCTGTTATTACTTATCTATTGAATAATTTCTCTTGTAAATAACTGAATAAATTTGAGATGGAGTTCTACGTCAAAATTTTAATCTATCACGTTTGTCATATATTTCAATATCAAATAGCTAGACATCTATTGCGCTTAGATGATAAGCCTAACTAGTCTATCATATTGTCTAAACAATCCGACTCAAATTTCCGTGTACACATCCTTCACATTCTTTGTTTCACACCTCTCACCATTAGCAAATCTAATTTAATATGAGAAAGATAATAGTTTACGTAATTTGTTAATTTATAAATAATTTTAATATAATTTGTTTTATATTGACTTTGAGATGCCATCAAACTCACCGATTTGACTTGCCACTGAGCAACAACAAAGGTGTGTTCTAGTGGCTGCAAGCCATCAAACTTCACGATAATTATTCACCTGTCGACGGACGACCAGCACCTAAAATAAATTTGACTTTGTCTTTCCTCCCACAGTCATCAAAATACAAAATGCAAAAGCAAACAGAAAAAACGCATAAATTGACCCAAAAAAAAAAAACCAGAAAAAACACATTTTACCCTCTGGGTAGCAGAAAACCCGTATATGTCACAGTATCCGATCCCGATTTTCGCCCAGACATCCTTAAAACTCTTCATACCACACATCTCATACTCCAGCTAGAGCAAACCAAGAAACAGAAAACACACTAAATAAAAGAACAACAATAAACACTAAAAAAAAAAAAAATCAAAAAACCAAATTCAAAATCCAAAACCTTAAAACTCCAAATAAAATCCGGATAGTTGCAACCCCCATCGGTTCAATACTTGAAACATTTTGAACATCAACTGCCATCAACAAATTGTAGCGCACGATCGCTACAATCAACAAAAATAAGAGTCGAAGTTCAAATAAATCGCCATTATAATCGTGAAAATTAAACAAAAAATCAAATTGGTTGAAAATTTTCCCAAACTAACCCCTAAATCTAACTGAAACAAGAGAAATTAAAGAAAAGGAAAGTAAAAGCTAAGAGAAAATTAGGGATTTACCGAGAGATTGAAATTAGATGAGAGAGAATTGGAGAACATCAAATTAAAGAGATTAGAGAAGCGCATAATAGAAATGGAGGATTTAATATTTGCGTTTATTCTTGAGTTTAATATTTGCGATAATTCTTGGGTTTAATATCGAACACTAGGCGAAAAATGCCATTTAGCACCGGTTTAAAACTCCCATTTAGCATCGGTTTTGAACCTGTCCAGATTTGAGGGATGCCAAAAATCAGAAGCATTCGCACCGGTTCAAAATCGGTGCCAATTCTTAGATTTGGCACCGGTTAACCGATGCCAAAAATGCCCAAAAAAATTAAAAAAAAAACTTTTTTTTTTTTTTTTTTTTTTGCTTTTTTCATCTGAATTTATCACCAGACTATTATAAATATACATAATATACTTGAAACTGATAATTTTCATTAATAACCTGTAATTTTACACTTGAAAAAATAAAATAAAAAAATATAGCAGCAGCTGAACAACAGCATCAGAGCAGCTAAACAGTAGCAGTACCGAAGCAGCAGCACTAAGGCCGCTTGAGCACTATGAGCAATATATGCTGCACCACTCTAGCAGAAAAGCAGTGGTACAAGAACATGTAGGTGAAAGAAAAGCACTAAGGCTTGAGCACTATGACATTATATTTTGACACCTTATAAAACAGATTGCATGGTTTGCTTATTACGAATGATTTTTGACATTGGAAAGCTACAATATTAGGTAATATTAGTGGTGAATTAAGGTAACACACATAAGCTCGTAAAAATTAGATGTATCATGGAAGCAGACACTTTGACACATGAAATTAAAATATTATGTGTTCAGTCATACCAATCAGAAATCAAATCAAAGAACTATTGATGCTAATTTGAGTCCAAAAAAAAGAAAAAAAAAAAAACATGTTTTACACTATAAAGATCCCTCTCTTACAGAATCCACCAAATCTACACCTTATACTTTTTAAGTAAATTACAAACAATGGCAATCAATAAGCTTAGGACTTTAAATGACATTAGTAAAACAAAATGTTAACAACAAGATATTTTTTAATATGTTCATGTTAAGAAAAGCATAATATCACGGGCTATAAAAATTCACACAAACAACAACAAAGCGGCAGCATCATATAGCAATTTTACATCCCACACACAAGCTAAACAGCAGGCCACGCACCACACAAAGAAGAAACATAAGCAGTAGCAGGAACACTTTACCCACAATAAAACGTAGCAACAAGCAGCAAAATAAGCAACATGCAGCACCCAACACACACTAATACAATCATGCAACAAGCAGCAAACTGAGGTTTAGTATGTGGAGCTTGTGATGAGAGAGTTCTAGAAGTCTGAATCAAGTCCTTCAAAGCAAATGGTGACCAATTTCGAAAGTAGCAACAACAAACATGTAAAAATCAAAGAAAGTGATTGGTGAGCCCAACAGAAATTAGAGAAGTAAGTATCAAACTCACATGAGAAACAGGAGTTGACACATTCACTAGGTGATCAAGTGAGCAAATCTCCAATATAGTCTCTTCCTTATTATTAAAGCTAGAAATATCAAATGAAACTCAGATTTCGGTCACAAAGTAATACAATCATTGAATAAAACATTACTGATTCAGTTACAATACAACAACCAATTTCATCCCTAGAAGAAAATATTTAAAAATATGTTACTAAAGCTAACACAACCAAATTAAAATTAATTGAAATTGGGAAGAAATTGAACTATTAAAAGCAAAAACTCAGCAAAATAAATATTAGGGGAACTAATTCACTCGTTGAATAATTTTTATCAATATTAGGGGAGCTAATTCACTCACTGTTGTAGGGAGCTATCAATTAAACTCTACAAGTACCACAAAGATCTACATCAATTTCATCAAAATAAAGCAAATAATTCATGAATCCATCAGGGGGTTTTTTTCATTCATAAACTTCTCAAACTGTGTTACCTCAACGGACAAACCGGAGCAAATCACATTGAGAAGTTGTACGATGAAAGTGAGTCCCTTCATTATATGGATTATCCTAGTGTAACTATTAACGACCAAGGGACTCAACGCATTATGATATCAATAGCACACGTCTTTAAAATTCATCAACCACTAGGACTCAACACATCTTTAAAATTCAAAGAATGTTTGCATTTAAAGGGACAATTCATCAACCACTTGGATCAAAATCAGAAGAATAATCCATAATCAAGGCCAAAACCGAAAAAACAGCAACACAAGCTCAGCATAGGCAAAGGCAGAGACTCAACATGCGTAACAACAGTAACACAAGCTCAGCATAGGCAGCAATAATAAAAGAGGCTGACCAAAGAAATCAACATCAACAATGGTTGACCACATGAAGCAATAACATAGGTTAGTCACATGAAGCATTATCAACACATGGTAACCATAGGAAGCAACATTACCACACCCTGACCATAGGCATTCACAACAGCATAGGCTGACCATTAGAACCAACATCAACATAGGCTGACCATAGGAACCACAACACAGAATGAGCATATGAAACAAAAACAACAACACAGAATGAGCATATGAAACAAAAACAACACAGGCTGAGCAGAGTAACAAACAACTACACAGGGTGGGCAAACGAATCAACAATAACACAAGCTACAGATAGTAAGCAACAACCACCACACAACATCAACGAACACCAACACAAATATCATCAAAATCCATCCTGGCCAGCAACTGAAGTTACTGGCATACAACCACAACTAGAAACAAATCCTCCACCCTAAACATGCTGCTATTTATAAAAAAAAAAATAAAAAAATAAACGGAATGATAAATAAATTAGGGTTTCACAGAGACATTTACCCATCAGCTACAGTTATTGGATCTAACGCTTAAGAAGCGAATCAGGGGGGACTCAAGATTCACATTATCTTTATC